TTTTGTTTTTATTTCAGACAAACATCTCCTGTTTATTAACTCACACCGGGAGCTTCAGAACCTAACTTTGGGATAACGATGGACATAAGAGATCCCAACGAGGAACATTCCCTATTGCAGATTCGAGAAGGTGAGCGACGTTAGATAACAGTTTTCATTACAAGAATAGTTGTTTACTTGATACACTACCAAAAATTTTTGAAATAGATTCAACACTTATGTACCTATTAATTTCAATGAGTACATTGTACAAAATTCTTCCATAATAAATGCGTTTAAGGGGTTAATGCAACTTTGAGAATTTAAATACTCTCTATTGAAAAAAGTTCCTAGCGCCTCCTTGGCGACAAGTGATGCCTTTTTTATCAAAAAGAAATACTATGAAATATGTATAACAGAGAATACTTTCATTCGAACAATCCTTTCAGTAAATTGAGAGAAGGTAAAGCTACATACCCGTACTTTCAAGATGCCTTGAGTAGTAATATATCGGAGTGGTTAGGACACAATATCACATGTCTGCGGTTTGCCATTTTTTTCTTATATAAAGTTTTTCATTGAGCGCTTCCCATCTTTAAATTTATAAAACAAAGTGTGTGTGAGATATCATCGACATTTTTTATTCATTTGAAAAACCTATTGATGCCATTATGTGTGGAATATAACATAGTTCAAATGTCCGTCACGGCTTCTCTGGTTGGAGCGCATCCGAAACATCCAATTTTCTATGACACTGGCGCATAAATCAGGCTGAATTTGACCGATGGCATGAGTTGTGTTGGTTTAGAAGACCACTGTGGTTTGTAACTTATTCTCATACACCTATGACTTGAGAAAACCCCACAAGAAAAAGTGTAAACGGTTCAAATCGCACGATCTTGGTGGCCAGTTCACCTCCACGTGAGATGCTAGTACCCTCAAATCGCTCGTGAAGAATATCCAATGTGCATGAGCTGTGTGGCACGTAGCGCCGTCCTATTTAAACCGCATACTTTGGTGTCCACATCATCCATTTCAGGCCAAAAGAAGTTGGTAATCATCGACCTAACTTGCTCGCCGTTGACAGTGATGGCCTGGCCAACGTCGTTTCTAGAGAAATATGGACCAACGACGCCACCAGCCCCGAATCCACACCAAACAGTTACTTTTTCGGGATATATTGGACGCTATTGGATCTCATGTGGATTGTTTCCGTTAAAAATTAGGTAATTTTGTTTGTTCATGTTTTCATTCACCCAGAAAAGGGCCTCATCACTGAAGATGATTTTTCGATGAAAAATGGGGTTAGTTGCCAACTGCTCCAGATCCCATTCAGCGAACATACGTCGTTATCTATGGTCGTTTATCTTCAGTTCCTGGGTCAGTTGAATTTTGTACAGGTGCAGGCCCAAGCCATGACGCGACGCAACGCCACGATGCCAAGTTGTGGTCTACGAAAGGCCGATATCTTGTGAGCGACGCGAAATCGACTGCCTCGGATTCTCCTGCACACTCTTTTACAGACAGCGGCGATGTTTTCGGCAGATCTTATAGGTTTGTTCTGGTTCTACGAAATTCAGGTTCTAGGATGTCAGGATCATCCCCAGTTGATATATGTAGAGCGTTCTGGTTTATTGAAGATATGTTCGGATTGATGAATCCTCTGTTCTGGTTTCGACTGCGAAATGATCCTAAACTGTCTTTAACCATCCCGAATCGTTCTTGCTCTCGAGGCTGAACTGTTGAGAACTGTTCCCATTGCTAATGCGCATTCACGTGAACATTTCTTTGTTTTTTTATTTATTTGATTTAAGTAATTGATGATTGAGGTTAGATAACATTTGAACTGACTACAAGGATACGCTACATAACAAAATAGACATGATCAACAGTATTTTCTTTTCATCTCTTCATATATACCATAGGTGACACAGTGGTCTCCACAAAATGCATTCTGGTTCAACCAAGTGTCCGAGACTATTTCGGACTGTTCGAGATTTTTTGCTTCTACGCACCATGTATTGCACATTTTCCAAACAGTTTCGGATGTAGGGATGTTGGTCGATCGTTTACTAAACCAGTGGACTCGAATGTATTGACCACATTGCGAATAGTCCTCTCAGTGGCGACAAAGGGGGTAAAAAATCTTTGTGTGTTTTTATCACCCCAAAATTAGTAGAAATTGACTAATTTAGTGTAGGAAACATTCAAAAAATATTTTTTGTTGTGTTGTGTAACTTATTCTCATACACCTATGACTTGAGAAAACCCCACAAGAAAAAGTGTAAACGGTTCAAATCGCCCGATCTCGGTGGCCAGTTCACCTCCACGTGAGATGCTAGTACCCTCAAATCGCTCGTGCAGAATATCCAATGTGCATGAGCTGTGTGGCACGTAGCGCCGTCCTATTTAAACCGCATACTTTGGTGTCCACATCATCCATTTCAGGCCAAAAGAAGTTGGTAATCATCGACCTAACTTGCTCGCCGTTGACAGTGATGGCCTGGCCAACGTCGTTTCTAGAGAAATATGGACCGACGACGCCACCAGCCCCGAATCCACACCAAACAGTTACTTTTTCGGGATATATTGGACGCTATTGGATCTCATGTGGATTGTTTCCGTTAAAAATTAAGTAATTTTGTTTGTTCACGTTTTCATTCACCCAGAAAAGGGCCTCTCCTGCACACTCTTACAGACAGCGGCGATGTTTTCGGCAGATCTTATAGGTTTGTTCTGGTTCTACGAAATTCAGGTTCTAGGACGTCAGGATCATGCCCAGTTGATATATGTAGAGCGTTCTGGTTTATTGAAGATATGTTCGGATTGATGAATCCTCTGTTCTGGTTTCGACTGCGAAATGATCCTAAACTGTCTTTAACCATCCCGAATCGTTCTTGCTCTCGAGGCTGAACTGTTGAGAACTGTTCCCATTGCTAATGCGCATTCACGTGAACATTTCTTTGGGCTATTTTCTAGGATGTTTTTTTATTTATTTGATTTAAGTAATTGATGATTGAGGTTAGATAACATTTTAACTGACTACAAGGATACGCTACATAACAAAATAGACATGATCAACAGTATTTTCTTTTCATCTCTTCATATATACGATAGGAGACACAGTGGTCTCCACAAAATGCATTCTGGTTCAACCAAGTGTCCGAGACTATTTCGGACTGTTCGAGATTTTTTGCTTCTACGCATCATGTATTGCACATTTTCCAAACAGTTTCGGATGTTAGAACCAGAACAAACCTTATGTTTTGTTAATGTAGGGGTGTTGGTCGATCGTTTACTAAACCAGTGGACTCGAATGTATTGACCACATTGCGAATAGTCCTCTCAGTGGCGACAAAGGGGGTAAAAAATCTTTGTGCGTCACTTTTTTCCTCCAAGTTTGATGTTTTTATCAGATTGAACAGCTGATAAAAGCGTCTATACAAATACGATAAGATGAAAAAATTATCCCTTTATGTTTGTTTGAAGGTGATTGACAATGTTTCATGATGAATTTCACTAGTTCGGACTTGTCTACTATATAAAAAGATTTGAAATCCCTGAAACAACTAAAAAAGAATAATTGAAAATGAATAGCTGAAAATGACAATTATATTAAGCAAAATAAACCTGAAATGAAATAATAGTGAATTAAAATACNCACCTGAAATCACTGCAGTGAATGGGGAATACTTTCCTGCTCTAAAACGATGGGCGTTCACTGATTCATGATTCATTAGATGGTGATCTCGCTCATCCTTGCATAAGTGTAAACTATTGAGGATTGTCGTTTATTTAGAGTGACAATTAACCCAATGATGGACGAAATTAATTAATTTAATTTTTTATGTGAGTATTAATTTTGAATGCAGGTTAAAATTAGCAAAATGTTAACATTTATAGAGATAAACTCTGATAACAAATCTAGTTTTAGTTGGAACATATATTAAAAACATTTCCAATGAGGTTTTATCTCATAGCAACTGGTATTCAAAAGCATACCCAACATAAATCCAGCTACATTCCAAATAGGTGTCATAACAGTGGGCCTCACTCTATGTTTTCGTATAAGATCCTCGAAAGTAGCTCTGTGGTGTTTCTCTTGGTCCCACATGTGTTTTATTAAGGGAGCCTTCGAAGTAGTTCCAAGCACGGCCATTTGGCCCGCATAAATCCGGTCAGCGCCCAATTCTCCAGCATGATCGACTCTTATTATTTGGTTCAAAGTTGCATCAGATTTAGTCCGAACATTTTTGATATTGAATATATTTTTTCTGGATGCACTAAACATTGGCTAGGACTTGGGTAGTAGTTGGATAAATAATGGTGAATTTATACACACTCAATTAGTGTTTCGAACGTGATATATTATGCAGATAAGTTTTAGGATTTAGTTATTGTCTCCCAACAATCTGCAATGTACAAACATAACCAGAGTCTACGATACGCTCGAAATAATAAACATAAAACTTAACCTGAAAATAGAAAATTATTACGAATCAGTGTTGCCAACTGGATGAACTATAAAGTCGCTACACATGAACCAAAATTCCGCTACACTGCTTTATATTCCGCTACGCTGCTTTATATTCCGCTACGCTTGTATATCTGACGAAATAAGTTCGCGCATGCGCCCTATCCGAAATTGAATACCACAGAACTTACAGTTTGTGTACCGTTTAGATACCACAAAACTGAACTGTCACTAATGTTAGGAATCAGGATCATGCTAATTTTCAACCGCGCAACTCAGTAGATGGTACTTATTTTCTAAATTTACAGCAGTTAAGTTTTGAAAGTTGTCGTTTCGACCAAATATTTCTTAGCTTGTAATAATGATTTTGAAAAGTAAAAAGAAATATCAATTTGTTCACGTACGTATAGTCATACTGAGCTCTTGAACGATCATTCGCGACAGGTCTACTCTATCCTTTCAAGTTGGAATCAGACAACCGATGTTGAGAAAAAGTTTGTTTTCGAAACTTTTGAATTTTTTAGCTATTTTAGTAACGCCATCATCAATAGAAATTCGAGCCTATTAAGAGTTTGAAGTCCAGTTTCAAAGTAAAGTATTGTTGTTTCTAACCCTAATACTCAATTATCGGATTGTCTTTTAAACTTATCGTCTATCTTGAGCACTTGGTTTATTCCAAAGCAGGTAGAATCGAATTTCAACTTATAGCCTATAAAACCTTAGCGTCAAGAATTTTTTGAGGCGATAAAACTGAATCATTAACTTCTCATCAGGTCTACTGCTAAAGTATCCAAAATATAGACAAGATAATACAATAACAATGTCAACATACATACGTATCATATTCGTAACTGGTACAATCTGGTGAACATTGGATAGTCCCATTCTCTGCACAGCGAAATTCCTGCTGTGGTGCAAGAAAAATTATGCTCAGTTGATGGAATCCGACCGGAAATTTACATAAAAATATCATAAGACATACACCCATGTGCCATCTGCCAAAAATTCCGATGCATTTTTGAACAACATCTACGGGAAGATCCGCTTGGTTATTTCCTCTTCTTTTTCTTACTAGAAACGAAAAACAATTGAAAATATTATGAATGAACGACTTTACTTTAATTAGCTACTCATTATCGATGGAGTTTCCTTCAACAGCTTTTTTCTTTCCCAATTTGTATTTGGGAGTTCTGAATCGTAGATATAGTAGTTTGATATATAATATAAGAAGACACTAATATTTTGTTAAATTTGGTAGGTATCCAATATACGGAAGCGCAAAATCATATTTTTATAATTTGTTTCTTAGAAATTACGACTCTAAAATCGGAAATTTTAAGATTAAAGTCGTAATTTCGAGTTCAGAATCGAAATTTCGACTTTAATTTTGAGTTGAAAGTCTTAATTCTGAAATCAAAAAATCGGGTGGGCCCGGTGAAGTACCTACTATGAAGCGAAGTCATAAAATTTTGTTTGAACACTCTCTTATCGTTTCGCATTTATAATGAGCTTTCATTACTTTTTACACGGAGAAAACAGAAAATGGTACTCATATGAATATCATTCATATATATCATACAAGAAGACGGAATATGTTTACTTCGAGTGTAAGTCAAAGGTACCTTGAATATATAAAATATCATTTATCAATAAAATCAAATTGGAAACACTTTTCGGTAATGTAATATCTGCTGAGAGAACAACTGGGGCACTTCATTTGTTACCTCATGCCGTAGTCGTACACGAAACGTCGGGTATAAAAACCTACAGACCACGGCCAACATACCCAGAAAATAGCTCTGACATATGTAATGCTCAATTCTCTATTATTTTAGGCTATTCAGATACGAATATGAATCTTGTGAATGGTAAAAAAGAGAGTCAACTGTTTTTGGTTGGTATTTACTGATACCAAAAATTGACTCTACAACCTCAATATTCACTGTCACCTCACATACAGGATGTAACATAAGTATGTTGAAATATTCAAGTGACGTATTCCTGAGACAATTTTAAGAAAAAAAGTCTTTATGAACTTGTGTCCGAAAATGCTTCGTTTCGGAGATACGGGGTGTTGAAATTGAATTTTTTTGTTCGCTTTTTGAAAATAACTCTTGCAAAAAATAAGTTATTTGCACGAAATTCGGTACCCGGGGTTTTTTTGACGTGGGAAATCATAATTTCGTATTAATTTTCATGTAACATCTAGAGGGCGCTGCGTACGCTGTCATTATTTATTTCAAATTGCCCTAACTTTTTTGACAGTAAACTTTTGGTACTTTTCATGAAAAAACCTAATTCCCACACCTTTTCCAAGTAAAAAAGGTGTACTTCCTCAACAACGCTGGAGGTGATCGTTTTCGAGATATTTACAATTTTCTATATCGATGCATATTACTTTATAGCCAAAATTGATTTCAATAATTTTTGTCACTCACCGCTTGCAAATTAAGTTAATTAAATGGAGTAGGCTATGAAAGTTTGTTTATAAAAATAGAAGTTCGCTGTCACATTTTTAACTATTAATTGTTTATAAACGTTTCTAAAGTGATTTTTTGGTACCATGCCCGACTTTACGAATGCTGAAATGGCTGATATGATTTTTGCATACGGCTTGGCTGACGGAAATTCAAGCGAGGCCAGACGCGTCTATCAGGAAAGGTATCCCCAACGCGTGACTCCTTGTACAGCGACATTTGCGAATCTTTTCAGGCGACTTTCCGAATCTGGAAGCTTTGAAACAAATTTTGAAGTAGGACGGCCACGGACTACAAGATCTGTAGAATTGAAGGAGGTGCTTCTCGAAAAAATTAGTAAACATCGAGAGACAAGTACAAGAAAAATTAGTCAAACTTTAAATGTGAGTCACATGAATTTTACAGAATCTGGAAGCTTTGAAACAAATTCTGCTGTAGGACGGCCACGGACTACAAGAACTGTAGAATTGGAGGAGGCGGTTCTCGAAGAAATCAGTGAACATCCAGAGACAAGTACAAGAAAGATTATTCAAACTCCAAATGTGAGTCACATAACAGTTTAAAGAGTTTTAAAGGAATAGCAATTATATCCTTATCATATTCAGCGTGTCCAGGCACTTACGCTACGTGATTTCCAATCACGTATCGAATTTAGTCAATGGCTTCAAAGAAAAGTCGAACAATATCCGCAAATTTTATCAAAAATCCACTTCACAGATGACGCTAATTTTTCAAAAAATGGTATCATGAACTTCCATAACAACCACATCTGGGCGGAAGATAACTCACATGCGATAACGCAAACTCATTTCCAAGACAAATTATCTTTTAATGTATGGATAGGCATAATTGGGAATTATTTAATTGGATCCTATTTTCTCACCTTACGTTTGAATGGAGATGCTCATCTACATTTTTTGGAACACGAGCTTCCCCAAATTATGGAAGATGTTCCCATTGGTCTTTGAAATCACTCTTGGGTTATGGATAGGAACTCATGGATAGGAAGAGAAGGCACTGAGCATTGGCCCCCGAGGTCACCGGACCTCAATCCCGTCGATTTTTTCTTTTGGGGACACCTAAAATCACTAGTTTATGCTAGCCCCATTGAAAACGAGGAAATGTTGAGAGATCGCATCATAGCTTGCTGCGAAACGATGAGAAACACTCCGGGCATTTTTCAACAGGTGCGGAATTCTTTGGGAGTCGTCACTTTGAACAGTTGTTGTAATAGTTGTTTCGTTCAATTTTTATATGTTTATTTTCCTAATA